ATCACTCTTTACACTGTTTTTGATCAAAAAGATGTCAAAAATATATATTAAGTTCTACTCTAGAAAAATTTTATTTGTATGAGCTACACCCTACTTATACCCTAAATATTTTGTTTTTGTAACCTTACCCTGCCCTGCCCTACGAGCTTTGTACCCTAGCCCTGCCCTGCCCTACGAGTTTTGTACCCTAGCTCTACCCTGCCCTGCAGGGCAGGGTAGAGCTAGGGTAGAACAAGGTTGACCTGCAGGACTCTAACAGACAGTTGCTACAATAGTCTTTTCCTCAGAAATATGTTTTCTACGTTTATTCAACTTTTATATCAATATTAGCAATTCAAATTTTTGTATTTTTCTTAGAAAACAAGATCTCACGCAGTTCATCGCATCAACGATGGTGAATAAAAAAGATGAAAATGGCTCTTACAGCAAAAGTATTACTCTCTCACATGAAATGATCAAGACTCGTGTAAAATTTTTTCACAATCTCTCATTTCGTACACATTACCAAGAGTACTTACTAAATGCGCATAACGTGCGATGTCAAATTCAATTATTAGAAACACAAGAAATATATCTCACTTTATCTGGTGAGAAATTAAATGTAAAAACCGCTTGTCAAACAATTCCGAATTTATTCGAATTAACACATGAAAAAATTTATGATGATGAAAATGTTGATCAACAAAGTATAAGCTATTGAATAGTTAACTTTTATTTTTTACATGCATTTTTTTAGTGATCTATTGTTCACAACAGATTAAATCAGATTTAATTATTCCTGTCATACAACAAATAATGGATAATCACAATATATTTACACTATGGGAAAAAACTGCGATGTTTTATGGTCATTTTAAAGTTACTTATCTTACACATGAATCCTTTAAAGTTTCTGAAGCTCGTATTACAGAGATATTAAATAAAGAAATATCATACATTGAAAATATGGCTATGCCTGAAGAAAAAACTAGAAATTTGTTGAAGAGTATTGATGAATTTATTTTTAGTAGACAAAATCCAGAACTAGTTATTATTCGTTGTAAATATCCATATAAGTTAGATATTAAAATTAGTTTGTTTGGAAGAAAAAAGTTAGTTCGAAAGACTAAAAAACAGCTGCAATCGATCGTTTATAAACATACCATAAAAACATTTCAATTGAAAATGACTGCTAATCAAGTAAATAATTATCTTTAAGAAATATTTAGAAGAGAAAAAAATGCATTTATTTTCCTTATTCTAGTATGAATATCTGTTAGAAAATTGTATTCATGAATTGAAAGATATAGAAAACGAATATAAAGATGATTGTGTCAAGATACGAATACGATTAAAAGAATTTAGTGCCCCACAATATCTAATCGATAATATTAAACAAAAAATACGTGAACTTATGATTCAAATAGTTACTTGTCAATTTCACAAAATTGGAAATTCTATAACATTAACTGATGATAACAATAAACAATTGAATCGCATCGCTAGACATAATTATTGTCGAATAGAAAAACTCGAGACAAAAACTGAAATGAAAGTTTATTCGATTCCAAAAGCCTTATCACCATCAGTGAATATTTCGAATTCAATAATGCTGCAATCCAATGAATTTGTTTCGGCATTATCAATGAGAAAAATGTCAGTATTAAATGGTTCAATAGAAATCTATTTAACAAATCAAAGTGATTCTATACCGGTGAGATAAAAAAAATCATAGCTAATGAGTTTTCGATTTCCCCGTGTTCACACTTCAATGATATTTTAGAGAGATGTTACGATTATTTCATCGCCGGCAGGAGCCGCTGAAGAACGTATTGAATATATGAGTGATAATGGCTATTTTGAAATGAAAACCGGCAGAAAATTTCTATTTCATCGCTGGTCACCGGTTGTATCAGATGATGATAGAACCAATCAAAAATTGAAAAAATCAATTGAAAAATTCATATCTTCAACTTTACAAAGTGTTACAACATGTTATAGCAATCTAGAAAAAATAGTTTATTTAACAAATGAATGGGAAAATATTGGTGCTCAACAACAACAACAACAACAACTATTAGCTAGTTCTATAATCAATGAAGTTAAACAAGAGATCGAAACAAGAAAAGTCGATTGGAGAATTTTATTTATTTTTAATGAACAACAAACGAATTTTTATAAAGAATTTTGTGACGTTTTAGTTAAAATGCAGACTGATAAAGATGGTTTTGCTCAATTTTCCTCTCCAGTATCAGGTATGCTCGAATAGAATTGAAACTTTTCAACAACTTTATAGCTGGTAGCACCTACAGATTCTCATTTGAATTTTTATCTAACAGAATTATTAGCCAAAACTTTTGTTTAAATAGTGATACAAATAACACTGGCAGCATCATCAAATCTCAATCTAATTAAATGTGAAAATGAAATAACGGATTATGTTCAAAAGCACATATTAGCAAACAAAACATTAAGTAATGAATTTGATGTAAGAAAATGGGATCAACATATGATAAATGCTTTTTATAAATATTCTTTAAATCAATCAGTATTACCAAACATGGATCTGACTAATAATTCGCAAATTCAATTAGTTGGTTCAATGTCCAATGTTGAAAAAACAATTGAAAAATACAAGTTAATGTCCGAAATCTTCAAACAAAAATCAACATTACAAATTCCACCACCCGTAGCTGCTAGAACTTCAACTCGTTCAAAACCAATTGATCTTAAAGCTTATAATATTTATTTTAGTTTTTGTCAGCAAGACCAAACTTTATGTAATCGTATAAATAATTGTTTAAAGGGCGAAGGTTATGTTCTATATGAAACACCAACAAATGTATCGCGATTTCAATCCTACATTGACAAATCGGATGTCATCCTAATTGCTTTTGACGAAGAGTACCTAGAAAACTCACATTCTATAAGTGAACTGAATTATACAAAATCAGCAAGAAAAACAATAATTCCATTTGTAATTAGAAATAATACAAAAGAAAATTCTTGGCTCAGTTCACTTACAATTGCAGAATCATTCTATGATTTATTCGATACTGAAATTGATATTGAATTCAAAGATGATTTTGATCTTGAATATGATAAATTATTAACTAAACTGGTTCGTACTCTAGAGGAAAGCCTATTGACTCACACTAGTATGTCTTTTATTCTAGTTGCGTTATACAAAACCTGGCACTACAGGTAAAACCTATGCTGAAACTACAGCTTTACCGAAGATTACAAAAAGTAATGATGACTACGAAGAAGCTGCATTTGGTCATAGATCAATAGCTTTACAAAAAGTGACACCTGAACAACGGCGTGAAAGTGAAACAGCGTATCAAGAAAAATTGGCCAAGAAAATTGAAAATGAAAAGATACCAAACGATGAAATCAATTCATCAGTTGCCGATTTAACAGTTGTGATAGAATATTTGGAAGAAATTGTGCGCGAAGGAGTTACATATTCTAAACCACATTCCGAAGAGCATGATACATATTCAATAGGTCCTAGAGGGTGGGAATTAGGTAAGAATTTTTAATGCTTAGCACTCGAATAAATTTTCAAAAACAAAAAGTATTTTTTATTCATAGATGAAAATCTAATAAGTTGCATGCAACAATTTTCGAACTCTATAAGGCGCTGGTTAAATAAATCACCGAATGTAATTCGAGGAAATATTATACCATTCACTCCTACTGGCGATATAAATGATGCTATTTTCCTAATTCATCAATCACCGAATGATCCATCATTTGCACAAAACTATGTACCATTGGATCATTCGCCAAGTGACAAATACTTTTCGCTATTTAATTCCAATCCAGGTTCATGCTTTAATAGTGAACAATCACATGATTATTTTCAAAAACTCGTTGAAAGTGTTAAAATAATAAAGGACATCGAAGCACGAATGATAGATAATACAATAAAGTCCAAGACTGATAAGCCTGATGATAACAACAACAATAACAGTAATGAAAAGAACATTGCAGATGGATTTAGAACACCAGAAGAAATGAGAAAAATCGAGCAACTTGACAATCCAAATCGTATTTGGAAGAAAACGAAATTCACAGAATTTATTGAACTGAAAATTAAAAATATTCTTGAATTTAAAGAATTATGTGAGAAATGGAAATAAATATAAATTGTTTTCTTTCAATTTTCAGATTAGAAATAAACCTCATGGATTCATTACTCATACAACATTCATCCCTTGTTCGTCGTCTTCGTCGTGAAAATTCGAATGTAACAGTTGCAGAAATAAAATTATATTTCGATAATATTGTTTTCTATATAAAAAATTTCAATTTCAACAATAAGAAAAACGATGCTTTAGACATTTTAACGCTTATTTCTGATGATTTCGCAGCGATGAACACTCTTCAATTGTTTGATCATCCAGCTCTAATTAATCATCCAATATTTATCTACATCGGACGTACATTAGAAATGTTATTAGTTAAAATGAATCATTCACAATCAATCCCAATGGCAAAATATGAAGAAGATTGCTTTTATTCTATTAGTTATTTAATAGCACAATTATGTTTATATCGAAATGAAACTATCAAATTATTCTATGGATCAATATCAGATGAAATATTTCCTGTAACAGATAAAATCAACATTAGAGATGAAAGCATCAATGAAAATAGTAGAAGATCTAATCCAATAGCAGAAAAACCAAATTTAAAAGTGACTGGTCTACCTCCGCGTGCACCTATAGCCCGTCCAATTGAAGAAAAAGATGATGATATAACAAAAATACCTCATCGAAAAATATTTTCTGCTCAACTGGTTCCAGTGACGAATGTCGTAGAATTTCAATCAGAAGTATCACTGATCCAATCAACAGACTTCCCATCTAAAACATATCAAGAAATTCTTTTGACGAATTCCTTATTGAATAAACTTACTCGTGCTATTGATGATCTATCCCGAATTGAATATTCGCCATATCATGTTAAATATAAAATCATAGACCGGCTTGTTCGTCTTTGTTCGAAAATGAATATTGTCGATCGATTACTCGATCCGATTGTTAAATGTTTATGTTCAAAACTGTATCGACAAGCTTTTATAACGATCGAGTCCGAACAGTTGCGCTTGAATCCTAAACAATTACTTTTTATCTATCAATGTACACAATTTATTATTCAACATGAATTTCAACGGCAAGAGCAAATTCCTCATCTACTTTGTCAAGCTATGATTGATGTTACAAAACCAATCGTGGAAAATATTTTGCCAATAGCCGGTAATTCAATTCTAGTGTTTTCGTAGGATTTGAGTAGAAAAGCTCAGTATGTGTCACATAATGTTGAGTATTTTGAGAATACTTACATAAAACCATTGAGTCCAAGAGCTTCTGGGCTCGGATCCTACGCCGGTCACTGCTATAAATAGTAATAATATTTTTGATGTGTTTTTCTTTCTGATAGGCGAGTTCGATGCCACATATTTTAATGATCGAGGGATTGCTCTCTACGCTTTATCTTGCCATTTGGAATTGTTAAATCATTTATCATTAACATCGTCCGGTAGACGATATTTCATGCAAAGTAATATTATTGATCAAATGAAAACTATCTTATATGACGAGGCATTGCTTGATAATGCCGTTGAAAATGAAGAACTATTTCATGCAGATGTGGCTGTTGTTGTTTACACACTCATGCTATTGTGTAATCTAGCTTATGAAAAGCAAATGTTTTCAATATTGAAAAAACAAAATTTTCAAAATATTTATTCTAAATTAGAACCAGCGAAAGATAGTACGATTCAACTGGCATGTCAAACTCTATCAATAATTTTAAGTCAAGATCAAATTAATGAAGAAAATGAGCCAATGAAATTGCGAAAAATGTGTGCCGAATATTTGGAGAAAAATGTTATTGAATCGAAACAAAAAAAGAAGTTAGGTGTTGTGAAAGATCGTGAAGGTAAATATTGATGTTTGAAATATGTAGTTAAAATAGAAACGCTCATCTTTTAGAACGAGATACTCACGTAAAACTTCGATTTCTAAATGAAACATTTTTGGCAAATTTAAAGCGAGAAATTGAACATTTAGCGACAACCGAATATGACTCAAATCCATCAAGGTACAAAAATATTGGACGAAATGTTCGTGTTGTGTCGTTACAGGAGACCAGCGAAGTCGAATCGCTACTTGATCCTATATTACAATGTTTGAATTCGAATTTTTATCTGAAAGTCTTTGGAAATATTGAACTTAGCCAATCGAAACCTAAATACGGAGCGATATCAAATAATCGGCCTCTTGCAGCAAAACATTTATTTTTCATGCGTGAATGTCCAGAATTTCTCTTTCGACATGATTATAAACGAAGAAAGGAGACAGCTGATACCTTGGGCAGAATAATGTTGGAACATACTAAAATAATATTCGAACAACACTTATCTATTCTGCTTGGCGATGAGGGTAAGAACACGCTTAATTAAATTGTAAGAAACAGACGCGGTTTAGGCACCCACCTGAAATTCAGTACGCTTTTGAGCTACGATGAGCGACCGAAAATGTTGAAGTAATTATTTACTACTCATACGTTTTCGATTTCAACCTCTTCAGCGATAGTGAGATTCCGCACACTTGAGAAATTTACTTTCAACTGCTCTTAAATATCAAGGATGGTCGCCTAGAGGATATCAACGATTCCTCCGACACTCGGCAAACATTCAAATCTTAAAGAATTTCGAACCACTAGAAAGAAAAAAAAGAAAAATAATGCACGTGCTATTCAGAGTTTTCCGGTGTTATTGATTTAGTTGGAGTCAACGAAAAGAAATCGTAGTATTATAGGGAACACATGAAATTTATTTATTCGTAATATTATACGTTTGATTTTTATGTAGGCAAACAAAATGTAGACGAAATAAAAGCAGCACGGATGACAGCATTAAGCTATCATGTGAAATTGTTAAGTCATTTTTCATTGATACGATCAATACGAAAACAAATTGTATCGTTGCCAATCATCAATCAAATATTATCAATATTAGAAGATCAATCATTGATTGATAGTCGCGGACGGATCGATGATGCAAAGATCGGAATTGTTGCACAATCTCTAATATTATTATATAATCTTGCAGTCGAAGATCAAGTATTAGAAATGCTTAAAACAAGAAATCTCATGAAAATCTGTACGAAATTACGTCTCGTCAAAGATAAAATTATACATTTTATGTCACAAATTTTAATGATAATGTTAGATAAAAAAGCCTATGAAGATATATATGAACCGCATTCGTTATCAAAGACTTCTGTTGAATATATTAATAGATCTATTGTCGGGCCTAGGCAAGTACATCAAGGTATAAAATTACATCATTTATTGAAAAATCTCGAAGGTAAACCAGAACAATTCTTCAACTATTCTTCAACTATTCTTGATATTCTAGTTCTTACTCAAAATGATACATTTAGTGAGTGTCTTGTTGAAGAAAAGGAAGGCATTTCTGTTATGACAAAATGTGTTTGTGTAGATAAGCTACAAGATAAGAATCCAGATAGAAAAAAAGTTGTCGAGAGAATTGTAGAGGATAAATCCTCAGATGATGATAGAAAACAAATATTGGAGCGAATACAAAAATTGGCTGTACTTATTATTTGGAAACTTTCATTTTATGGACCGAAAACAATTACAAAATTGAAATCGAATGACTTATTTATCGACCAAATTCTTTTTTTATTAAGTGTAGCATCAGAAAAATCTATCAAAACTCCAAAATCAATCATTTGGAGATTAGGTAATGAAGAAACCATACGTTCCGAAATTGCAAAAAAAGATAAGACTCAACGAAAAACTGACGAAGACACGACAGATCCTGATCAATTGATTTCAACGGATGAATGGGATGAATCAATTCCGTATGATGTCATCATTAGCTACAGCAATAAGACTCAGGATAAGATTCTAACTGTTAAAATATACAATCGTCTAACAGCAACTGGCTATCGAGTATATAGTGAAAAGCAAGGAAATCATCGGTTACAATTAATGAAAAAAGCAGTGGAAAAAAGAAAACCTATACTTGTTTGTTTATCGTCAGCATATCGTAAGTCAAAAATATGTATGGCTGAACTTGAATATGCATTTAAAGAGTCAAATCCAGTTATTCCAGTAATTGTAGAGCCAAACTATAAAATACAAGGCTGGTTAAAGCATATTATTAATGGAAAAAATCCTATTGACTTAGCCAATTTAAAAATAAAAGAGTTCGATGATCAACTTATTAGGGTATCTAAAGAGATTGAAGAAGCAAAAATTGACGATTAGATATGCCTCTCCATCGATGATTGTATATTTTAAGAGAAGAATATCAACGGGCTCTCTGGCAGAGGACACACTAGAAAAATATGAAATACTCGTGGATGTGTCAACAAATAAAAATTGCAACAACATTATTTGTTTTACTTTTTTTTCCATAACTGCATAGAGGTCGTCGAGCTGCATAATCAATGTTTCTTTATTAGTTCAGCTTTTTTCAGGAGTAAAATTTGAGAATCACATGTGCACTCGTGTCACATTATATTGATGTAAAATATAGTAAATTAAAGATCTTTCATTGATTTCTTTAATTTTGAACGGAGGTTTTTCGCATGTCTTGCTGCTATTCGCTCGTTGCCATGCGTTTCCTCCTTCTACGTTTCTCAACATGCATACACTACTCCATACTTGTCATTTTGATTATAGACTTTTTGATCTGAGAAAAATTGCAAACAACAATATTTTTGAGAAATGCTTTTTTTTCGTTGTAATAGACACTTACCAAATCGTGATTATCTTCCGGACCCCCATCGCTATGAATAGAAAGTCATGAAACTTCGACTTATGATCTTTGCCTTTAGAAAATATAATATGAGTTCCGCAATTTTGTTTTTGCATCGCTTATGTAGCTCGACGAGTTTTATAGAACTATGAAAAAACAAGTGATACAGTAGTCTACCTAATTTTGTATTCGTTTTTATCAAAGGTATTTTATTAATATTTTTTTCTTTAAACTTTTTAGATTATGTGATATGAACTTTTAGATAGGCCTTCGATCTCCTTGTTATTACAAAGGTTAGTTCTAAATTTGTGTACGTAATATTTATACGTAGATGTTTTTAACTGAACTCAATACACATTCATACAAGCTTCTGTATTCTCCTTATTTTTGTCACGCGCAGTTCGTAGATCCATCTCTATGCATTTGGACTCTGATTTAATCCCTTCGGAAAATTTCCGAACATAGAGAGAAAATTGAAATCACGATGACACTCAAAAATTGACTAACGCAAGATAATTATTGACGTGTGTCAATACTAACTTGAATAAAATCTTGTTGTTTCTCGTCTATTATGTACTTGTAAAGCAAATCTACTTGAATCATAGGTTTATAATTGGAATATTTCTTTTATACCATTCTGTCAAGGTTGTACAGCATCCCTATGTGACTTACAAAATTGCAACTGACGAATTTTTTCACTTTCTGTCAAAATTTCAAGGGATTCTCTTTGACTAATCGCCAATGATTGAAAGAAAATAGTTTTTTCTTTTCTTTCCTGTCGCAGTTAAAGAACCGTTTTAACTGATTCGAAATCATTTTTTTCCAAACTTGAATTATACATCTCATATCTTAATCAGAAGTTAACAACTTTGACCAAAATTCTAATCATTTTTTTCTTTTTTTCTAGTAACAAAAGTAAATAATGACCTCTACTACATCGAAATCATCGACGAATAGTGATTTCTACTATGCGTGTCGTAACGGACTAATAGATAAAGTTCGTGAACAATTACCAAATATGACGTTAGCAGAAATCGATCAAATTCAAGCCAATGGCTCTACAGCACTTCACGCTGCAAGTTATTATGGTCATGCAGAAATAGTTAAATTGCTATTAGATAGCGGCGCTAGTCGTTCAATAGAAAATGAGCAACACAAATGTTTGCCTTATGATGAAGCCGAAAAAGAGGAAATTAAAAAATTATTTATACGTGAAACAGCATCGAATAGATTTGCCGATGATGGCTCAGGACGTATCGATTGGATGAAATGTGATGCTGCAGCCGAATCTCTTGCAAGTGATTATCGATATCGGCATAGTGGATTTGGATGGAAAAGTAAAAATATTGATCATCGTTTAAAATATATTAAAGAAGAAATGGGTCATACAGAAAATAAGGAAGTTAAAAGATTTATTGATCAAGTACAATCGAACCCGTTTAATCTTCTTAAAGCTTATACTGTCGAATCTCCTTTCTATATTAAATTAAATCGAGATTTAGCAACAACTCATTATGATCGCGGTACAAATTTTGGTTTAACATATTTTATTGATTTTTTCTATAATCATCCGGCGTTCGACAAATTATCATTCAAAGGTAAAGTCTATCGGGGTATGTGTGCAGTACAAGATGATCTTAAGGAGTATAGTGTAGGAGGGAAAGTCATGAACAAAGCATTTATGTCAACCACAAAAGATCGAGCCGTAGCGGAACAATTCGCAATCAAAAATGTAACTGATCGTAAAAAACAACACGGCGAAAATGTTAAATTATCTATTCTTTGCACATACGAAATCATTAATGATCGAACTGGATTAAATATAGAAGAACTATCTGAATATAGACATGAAAAAGAAGTATTAGTAGGACCCTATTCAGCTTTTACAATCATTGCGATACGTAAAGTTTCTGACAGTTATGTTGAAATACATCTTCGAGAATGCGAAAAAGTGAATGATCAAGATGATGATGATGATAATGATTTTGATGATGATTAGACTGAAGTATTTTTTATGGCTACTGAAAATTTTTCTAGTGTTTCCAAAGTACAATTTTTAAATAAAAGCATCTCACCAATATATAAATTGGTATCAATAGATATTCGTTTAAGAGGGAAAGGTGCATTCTGTATTTCGGAAATATTATATTTTATTGTGTGATTCAGTAGTAAGCGTGCCCATTTCATTGTTTTATTATCGACGTATTCGTGCAAGAAAAGTTATACTTGTTGCATGCTTTCAGATATCTGACTGCGAATCCGTTTGGTCAATTTGAAAGAAAATTTTGCGATCACGATCCAAAAAGAAGAGTAATTTATGTAATGTCAACAGAAATCAACGAAAAAAAATCCTTACTAAGAAAATAAGGACAATAATTAAAGAAAACAATCATAAAGTGGCCAGTAAGTATTAGTATAGTTTCGAGAAAACCTTGGCGCTGACGACTTGAACCAATGACAATGATAGTGAAACCTATGCCATCATATATAAGGAATGCGAGACAAATGCCATTGATTACGAGATCAATTACGATTAGTCAAGCAAACTCAAAATTGGCCATAATTATACAAATATCAATGTGAATGTTTCATTGAAACAGTATTCATTTCTTATGGTTTTCGACAAATTTGATCACTTTTAAATCCTTCAAGTATCCCGCCCCGAAAAATCAAGCAGTAATGCTTATCTATATATATATATATATACGAATTGTTCAATTTATTCCTCGTTGTATCTCATTCCTGATTCAGATATCATAGATTTATACATTTTATTTCGTCATCATATCTGCGAAAAGCGTTTGAAAGGAGAGTAAAATGAAAAAACGTTTTTGAAGTGAAAACAAAAATCGTGTTCATACCACTCGTAAACCTATTTCATGATATCGATAAGTGACGAATATTCCAAAGCTGTAGCAAAGAGCTGAAATAAGAAATATCTCAATTAGGCCAACAAGTGATGGCTGGGCTGTGTCCCTGTCATATCCAATGTTGGCAATGATAGCAATTGTACTAATTAGGTTAATAGCCTATAATATTCACATCAGATATCAGTAAAAAGCAAATTGTTCGACAAAAATCTCATCAATTCTTTTTCATTTTCCTATAAAGATCTTGCTTTTCTGTTTCGTGTCACACACACACATCCGAACTCGATTTAGTTAGAGTTGAAGCAAAAGAAACAAAAACATGCTTTTGTCATTTCCGCTTTAATCATTAAAAAACAGAAAACAAAACATTTACCGGGCACAAACCAAGCTTAATTAGAAGACTAATACGAGTTCGTCGTATTTTAGGGCCAGCGTCAGTGGTCTAGATGCATCTATTAAAGGCCCATCCATCATAACAATTTTTCCGCTTTTCTCTTCCAATTGCATTTCCATGATGTGCAATGCAACTTGTAGAAGAAAAAACACATGTACGCAAAAATAAGATTCGCCACGGTGATCTTCACAATGATTCGTTTTGTGCATAAGTACAAAAATAAATTTCTATTCTACATAAGGATGAACATTGCAGAATACTGTAGTTTTACTCCGTTAAAATAAAAGAGATTTCGTTTTGCAGTTCAATCATGTCACACTTGCATTTTATGATGAATGGGAACAGCAAAGTCTGCTGAATCGTGTAAACTTGGTTTCTCAGTATGACGATATATAGTTTTCGCCATCGTGCAAAATTCCATGAAAGTCAACAAAATTTAAAACATCTTTGAATAAAAAGACTACTACCATTCAACTATTTCTAATACGAACCTGAAATAGAATACGCCGGTACACGATATTTTTCAAAACAACCAACGATCCGTATATCTTGGTTTTCAGAACAAGATTTACAGTGTTCTATGGCGCATAAAATTGTTGCTAAAACTAAGTAATTTCAAGATGTCTTTTTTTTCAGATCCTCGGAACATCGTGTTGTAGTATCTGTTCACTTTCATTCTAGATAGTACACTTGGGCATGAAAGATGCAATAGAGCCACTATGAATTATAAAGGGGTGTCCAGTATTCTATTGGATGAGATATGTAAATATCTATAGTCTTGCTCAGCGTTTCTAACAGTAGGTATCGACCATTGTAACAAAGTACTAGCGGACACCTGCTGAGGAAATTTTACATTTTGTTTTTCATTCTATGGAAACTTCCAACTCCTCAATTTTCTATTCATAGATATTCATAAATACATGCAAAGTGAAAATGAAGGTCTTCTGGCTGAGGAAATATAAAGTTGTTGGTTTTTTTCTGCGTCTGACCTATCTATGAAATAGCTGACAAACGACATATAAAAAAGAATCGCAATTTTGCACTTCTCTTGCAAAAATAAGATGTAATTTGACCAAGTAGGAAGAAGGGTATTTCTGTATTTCGAAAATAGCTATATTTTATCATATGATTTAGTAGTAACAGTGTCCACTTCCATTCTTTTTTTTTTTGGCATCTTCATGCAAGAAATAGTGTTTCTGAAAAAGTATCAGAAGCAGAGGCATGCACAGGACATCATTTTTTCTCCTGTCCTTGCCTGTCCGGTTGGCTACCTTGGTCCTGGCGGACGGTAGGGCAGGACAACAGGACCGTCCTGCCCTGTGCACGTCGCTGATCAGAATCTGTTTTCCAGTAGTTTCTTTTGAAAATGCAAACAACTTTTATCCGTATCAAAAATCTCATCCTCCTTCGCTACACGTTACTTCCTTTTCATTTTAACAAATAATGAGGAGGAGAAAATTTTATGTCTAAGAATTTTCTATCATTCATCTGTTAAAGCAATATTAACGGTAGATTTGCATCACTACTACTTCCATGTATTTTCGAAATACAGAAATAGGCTCCCTCGCCCCTTGTATCCTTTGCATCTGACATAGATCATAACTTTAATGAATCACTTTGTTTTGAGAATATCTTAAAATCGATCTAACATACAGACTTCCAGTTTTTTCATCATATATTTACTATGTTAGAAAGAAAGTAGAACGTAATTTACCTATGCACAGGCTCACCGGTGGAGTATATGTTCTTGTTCAAAACCACAGAGATATAGAAGAAATACGAGATCTTTTAAGTATTCTATATCTTCGTATTGATTTAATATTTTTCGAAAACTCATTTAGTCAATATTCTGAGTTCAAAATATTCGAAATCCTTTCTCATTTTTAGAGTTAATCTGATGAAAAATGTCATCGTAGTCAAAAACCTTGAACTTAGTGCACTTGCCGCAAAAGGTCATTTATTATATGTGTATGATTGATTGTGATTGCTATCTTATGTGAAAATCGTTTTTTTCTTTGATTATTATATTTTTTATTCAAAAAATTTTATTTCAAAACTATGATTTATAGATATTCTACAGGTAAATCCATAATACTTGTGCATATGTAATGTTTCACGAATTGAAATTGATGATGAGGTCTTTATTCGTGGTTTTATACTCTAATTAGATCTTTTCCAGTCGATAACATCATCGTCGAACCACATAGAAAAATATTTACGCTGGTAGGTCTTGCTACTCGAAGTCATAGTATTGACAACGTGATGAAATGTGACATTATACACGTATGAATAGTAGATAACACTATTGAACTGAATCACTTTCATATGGTTTACAGCAAAAGTTCGTTTTTGCTCTATGTCGACTTTCGAAGCAAAAATTTTTTATCATATCAAATACTAGATTTCCCGGTACAGTATAGTTATCAAAAAATGAGTGGCACGTAAAAATTGTAGGGGGGCGGGGGGTGGCGCTAAGTCGTTAGTCAAAACTATCGTAGAGGGATTAAACTTATTTTTTCACAGAATTTTATTTTTTCTAGGGAGGCTGAGGGGGGGGGGGGGGGCGGGGGGGGGGGGGGGGGGGGGGGGGGGGGGGGGGGGGGGGGGGGGGGGGGGGGGGGGGGGGGGGGGGGGGGGGGGGGGGGGGGGGGGGGGGGGGGGG